CTGTCCGTCAGAAGATGGGATATATTTAAGAAAAACGCATTAGTCAAAATGTATGCCATTTATGTGTTCATATATTCATTTTGCATGCACACGTATAAAAATTGCGGTTTTTATCCAACGCAATCATAGGTCTGAACGTTGTTTTTAATTTAGACTTATTTATATTTTTTCGTTTGGGCTTGTATTATATTTGCCTTCGGGTTTATATGATCCGTTCAACCTATTTCGACTCTTCAAAATTTAAGAGTCTATCCTTAATTGAGGTAAATAATATGGCCTTCCAAATACCGTTTTGATTCCTAACATCACTGAAGAGACATTAATTGTCGAAATCCGGATATGGTGTACAAATGTTTGCTCCCCATGTTTGCGGTATACCATCTTTTCCGTAAACTTTTTGTTTTCTGTTTGGTATTTTGAATTATAATAAAGATCCATTTTGTTACATCTTCTGATCCGTTTATTTGGCAATCGCCATTGGCAGTCAGCAGGGTTTAAGAACATCCGTTATTCGACCTTTTAGTCAAATGCGTATTGTTTAAATATACTTTTTCACTTTTTTGATCTTTTGGAAAATGTTGTTTGTGCTGTATTTAGACCCCTCTACAAGAAATTTGTTTTGCATGCACACGTATAAAAATTGCGGTTTTTATCCCACGCAATCATAGGTTTGAACGTTGTTTTCAATTTAGACTTATATATATTCGTGATGTACATATAGATGACTTTAGATTATAACCCGACAAACGTGTTGATTTAAACTCCAATTTGTCAACATTCTATTTAGCAGCAGTAGTACCCACTTAGCCCTTGATATGGCATTCAAATATCTCAATTAATACGTTTAGGTCGTGTCTGTTCTCACATAACGGATTTTTTTACCCCAAACGATTGAAATTACAAAATAGTTGACCGAAACGACGTCTGCGGATCCTACTTATATTTTCGCGGACCTAATTTTTTAGATACAAGCATAGTCGTCAGGTCTGTGAATGGACTGATTATTTTTATACTGACATTCTAATTGAGTATGGATTCGAATGATGATTGTTAATGTAGGAACGGCAGGAGATGTTTACCGTGTCGACGCATCCGGTGTCGCTCTTTTTATGAGTTCATGTAATTTCCTCAGATTTTCACCTTTACCTTGATTTATATCTTCCTTATATTTATCAGATTTCAGCATCGGAAAACTGTTGCCTCTAATTCATTGGCTTCTTTAACTTGACATAATTAACTTTATATAAACTTGGTTATGTAATTGATCGATAACAAATGTGTTAATTATATTTGTAGTGTTATAATAAAAAACAAATGCTGAACATTTTCTCTGAAACTAAATTTGAACAACTTAAACTAAATTTGACTGGAATAAGAATTCAATTTCTTTCATAAAAAAATCTTTATTCTATGTCTTTCAAAAGAAACACATGGCGCTCCCGCTAACAAACTTATTATTTATGTACAAGTTAAAAGAGGACAGAACGAAATGAAAACTTGGACGGGGTAGTTATTGGTATAACTTAGTGGATGACTTCTATAGCATATTTTTTTTAAATGACAATGTTTAATGTGTACTGCAGTTTGGGTATATCTAAATACAAAATTGGACAATGCAGGAATATGCAAAAGAAATCAACGGGATAAGGCATTATTTTGTATCCATAACATTTATAGTTACTCTTCTAAAGACATACGCAATAAAAGTATTTAACAAAACTATATTTGTATCATTGAAGTATTAGTTAGAGAATAACAACAATAAATGAGCTGTCATATTGTCAACAAACCGGGTTTTCTGTATTAAGGTGGTACCTAACACTACAGGGAGATAACTCTGTAAAAATCAGCTAAACGTTTTAAATACGTTGTATTGTTAAGGAAATATTAAGCTTCTCAATGATCAAAATTAGTGTTTGTCAAACTGCTATATAACCAATGAAATTTTTCTGATAAAGTGGTTGGTTCAAATTTTTTGAAATTTTTATATTTTTATCAAAGGGTCAAAGTGAACATTTTGTCAAAATTTTATGAAAATTAAACGAGCCAAATTAATATTAGTCAAGGTGTTGGGTACCACCTTAAGTTGGCACTTTCAGGCTTGTTTGACCTGACACGTTTTCTACCTATTTTCCAATCTATCAACGACCAAAACTCGTGAGCAGCAAACGTGAAAAGCATCAAATTGAAATTGACCAACATTGGATGAATGATTCAAAGATTATTACAGGGAAACAATACAAAGTGTAATTGTATTAAATGTATCTATCAAGTACTATATAAACTCCTGAACGGTAGAAGCGAAAATCGTCAATTTTGAAATTTACTTTCCATTTAGTAATCACTAACATCATGTCATAATTTGAAAAGCATTTGTTGAACGGTTTATATGTTAGTGTACGGAAACGACATAAAGTGTCATTTACTAAACTATCAAGGACTATAACTCCTGAACCATAAAAGTGAAAACGTCAAAAATGAACTTGACCGCCATTGTTTTATTACTCACATTTTAACAAAATATGAAAGCATTTGTTGAACGGTTCTTAAGATATCACATGCACACGACATAAAGTGGCATTTTCCAATTTATTACACTCACGATAAAATGCTAGATTTTGATTGGCTAATACAAGGGAGATAATTTACTCCATCCAATGGCTCAGCGGGAGATATTTTTTTCAATATGACCCTCTAGAGCAGACCAATCAAAATCGACAATTCAAGAGAAATTGAATTAATGTTGCATCAATGATTTTAAATACAATGCTCAAGTTCTACGTTTTGGTCTCAGAACGTTTTCATAGAATGTCAAAATAAAAGATACATTTTACCTTTTTTTTTTTACTTTTCCTGTTTTGTAACGTTGTTAGGTACATGACGTCATTGTTAATTACCTTCAATTTAAAATTTATAAAATAGTAATGGCATTTAGTTTAATAAATTAGATAACAAATAGCTAAGAGGGTAATTACCCCTCAAATAAATATTTTCAACCTTGTCTTCGCCTCCGTTGACAATGTTTTCTTCGGGTAACAATCTTATCTATCACCCTCTCAGCTAAGTGTTATCTATATAATATCAAGGACACGTCCTAAACGGTAAAAGTGAAAATCTATAATATCGAACTTTGCGCCAATTTTGTCAGCAGTAGCAATATATTAAAACTTGAAGAAAACAAAATATTGGTTGAACAGTTCATAAGTTATTGGACGGAAACAGTTCGCAGTCGACCACCGTCCACCACCAGCCGTAATTCACCAAATTAATAACCGGGCTTTTCCTTTAGGAATTTTACATCAAGTATTTTACAATAATTTATCTAGGTGATTTATATAAGTTTTTTTTAATTTTTGTATGCTTATATAGACAAATGTTTTTCATGGAATTTAATTTTTGCTTTCTATTATGCAATCGTTACAAGATGTGTTAAAGAGTTGCGATTCGGACACACACACTGCTGGTTTCCTTTTAAGTGTATTTCTTATAATTATTAGTATTGTCTGATCGTTTATGGATCTTTTATTATCGGAAGGATCAAGATTAAAAGACGGAGAGCCAGAAAATTATTAGTGATTATCTACAGTTATATCTTAATATATTTGTTATTTTGTGACTAGTCAAAGTCAAATTTGTTAACTTTTTAAGCATCTTATTGATTTTGAGCATTACAAATTGTTCCTGCACCAATGTATTACTGGAGACCGAATCTAAACTTATAATTGTGTTATTAACTTGCATTATGTGTTGCTACCTTGTCTCCGTTTATCCACACGTTTTATTTACTGTATACATTGTAAGTCTATTGTCTTTCCATAACAACTTGGCTGATCTAAGTAACTTTGTTGATGATAGACTTTTGATGGCCGTCATTTAAAAAACAAATCTACTCAACAATTTAGAGTTTGCATATTGTGAAGACAATTTACTATAATTGATGAACACCTTACTGTAAAATAAAAAGATATGGTTTTATTGCCAATGTGACACCTCTCCATCAGAGACCAAAGGACAAGAAGGTCAGCAACCATATAGTTCAGTGTACGGTCTTCCAGCATGAACAAAACCTATGCCGGCCTGATGTCTGTACAAAACGATAAGCAAAAACAATTATGAATTACAGCAACAAATAAACACATGTTTTGAGTCTCTTGGTTAGTTAATCTGATGCATAGACACCAATACACCCGTCTGTTAAGGTAAATAATAAATAGAAGGGGTACACAATTTATGTAAACATGGTAAATGTATCAAAAGACTTATGAATACCACCAATAGAAAAAATACAATTCAATCAAACAAATGAAATATTACTGCAGATTTAGATTGTTTTTCATATCATATGGAAATGCTTAAATTTCAAGTTGTGTCTTGCTGTTTATTGTCGTTTACTTGTTTCGCATTGGTATATATCTTCAACTGAGATTTTCATAATCCCAAGGGTAACTTGAGTAAAAAAATATGGTCTTTTTCCTACCGACAGTGATACCAATGCCAAAAGTGGGGCGTTGTCTGGCTTAGTGTGATGTATAAATACGCAGTCACTTTTGGTCAGAATTGGGCAGTTAAATCCTATGCTTGTGTAAGTAGAGTGTAATGGTATCTGCACGTTTTAGAAATCTTGCAACAACTTCTTGAGGAATTCGTCCTTCATCTCTGTCGACAATTATTACAAGACCTACATATTACATTTATTGTCAATTGTTTGACATCATGATCTTTCATGAAATAATTGCCTATGAACAACAACAATGAAATAATATATATCATTATAACATAATATATAACAAACAATTTAGAAATGACAATAAAGTACGAACTAGTCTCAATAGAGAAGCAACAGCGAACCATGGAGGCTCCAGTTTCGCGTTTGTGCATGTGACAAGTTTCAGTTAGTCATGCGAGTGCTACTACATTCTATGTTTATATTGAGTAGTAAAATAACAAAAGCAGGGAACCTATTTTCAATAATCGGCAATTATTAGAACTGACGCAACGAATATGAATATAAATTTTAATAAACTCTAGTTCGACATACAATTTATGGTAAAAGTATATTATTCCATTTATAATATGTCAGTTAGTTTGAAATTCATGATGTTAAAGGCGATCCTTCAAACTCATCTTTGGTATATGTATTATACTTCTTTTGCCGGACATATATTTTTGGAGTCTTGTTGATTTCACTCTGGTGTATCTACAAAGAGAAAATGTATTTATATAGTATTCAAGTAAATTTTTGTTTAACCAGTCAACGTGCACTTCTGAATTAAGCATCATACGAAACAGTTTCAGATCTTTTCTATATAAACAAAAATCGTGTGTCATTTAATTATTAGTGTCTGTCAATTTTTTAGGAGTTAAACCACGAAAATCAATATGACCAAGGTGAATGAAACTCTTGATTTCATGCAGTAAAGAATCTAGTCAGAGAATTTTCTACTGAATGAGGGGATGATTTATCTAACTTAGATAGGTTCAGTTTGTACGTATGTTATTTCAATGAAACGAAAAGAACTCGGCTTTTTCTGTAAAGTTTTGGGTACTGCTAAACAATTTTCAAGAGTAAATGTACCTTGTAACGCCCCTAAATAAAAGTCATATAATTTACTAAACTCGCATAAAATGTTGCCGAGTTTTTTGGAGTATGTTTTCGAGCGTAAAATTGTTCAATTGTTTAACTGCAGCGTTGAATGATGGTGACATATACAATTAATGTGTCTGAAAAACACGACATTCTTCCGTTTTGCTTGATAGATATCTAACAAAGTGAACTGACCTATAATGGTTTACTTTTATAAATTTTGACTTGGGTGGAGAGTTGTCTCATTGGCACTCATACCACATCTTCTTATATCTATTGAAAATACATTTGACATCCATAGCATAATGGTTTTGGTTAAAACATAAAATGTATACGAAATAGTTTGCTTATACTCGTGAAAGTTTGAGTTTTAATTGTAATCGGGTTGTCCATAGTAACATTGATTGTAAATTAAACAAAGCATTCAATAACAAACAACCTTTGGACAATTTAAAAGTGTTCATCATGAGTTAATCAATAATAGTATCAGTTACATCAAAGACAAATAATGATTATAATTATTGTTATCATTAGTTTCATCACCAAAAGATAGAAAAACTTTTGATTTATCTTACCAATCATATTTATCTAGAAATAATGCAACCGATCATCCAAACAGAGACGTTTATAATGTTCATCCGTCTGTACTTTAACAGGTGTTATGCCTTTGAGCAATGGCTTGTTGCATTACAAGTTTAATGTAAAAAAACATAGTTGTTGTTAATCATCTGCATGATTTCAACGTTTTACAAGTGTATAATCTGACACTTTTGTCTAGTTATAAGAGCCAATATTACATGTTTCAAATTACAAGAAGAAGGTTCGTGGTTAATCTATTTAAAGAATTACAGTGACTTGTCCCTTTACATTTAAAACATTAACACATGTAACTGTGAACTGTTTATCGGTCATAGCTTTGATGTGCACGCTCTGTATCATTTATTTCATTTGTACTTTTAAAGGAATTGTAAGCCAAATAAACATATTTCATTCCAAGATACTTAGTGGGAAACTGTTTTCCCAGGAGCTATTCAGCTTCCCAGCCATTTATAATCGGCTAACACTCCGTCACAGCTTACTATCAATAAACATTATTAAATCATCAATCTTGAGAAAAGATTGAATCATTTATCAATGCTGTATGTCGATCAGAGAAAATCTTAATCATGTTTAGCTTAATCCTTAGATATTGCGATTATTATGTGCATTCTTTTTTTTTATTTCTATGGATTCATAATAAAATGGTGCAAATCAATTCTGCTACTTGTATATTTCAAATTCATATGTTGAACATATTCTTTGACAAAATGCTAAACTGTACGCAATGATTAAGCTAACATGTGAATTTGTACAAATTGCCTCTCCAAAATAACTTAAAACATCAACTGTTTTTATGAGCATTTTGGAACGTTTTACAACCATGTTTTAAATCGACAGAACCCATCAATGTACATATATGAACCAATATTTTAACTATCCATTTAGTATTGCTGATTTTTGACATGTCTTTTCAAAGTTGTTAGTGTCAAAATTATTTTGTAAGTTTTATAATTACAACCTTTTGTTTCTCTCTTAAAAATATTAAAAACAAATGAATGTGTACATTTTACAATCTAGAACTATTTTCCTTCCACAAAACTATTTTATTTCTTTATCAAATATCATTTTATTAAAAGCTGTAAAACCATGTTCATGAAATGATTGTCAAAAAAAAGACTGGTTGTAGTAAGTGCAAAATATATTTTGGACAGCCTTTACCGTGTTTTGATATTTCTTAATAAGTTTGTCGTCTCAAATAACATGAATACGTATTCTTTACAAATTACACTACACGTTTTGATATTATTTCACAATTTAACATTTAGGAATGACCGTCCCAGTAGCATGTAGTCTATAATAATTGTGAAAGATGACATAATTTAAGATTTACTCCGCAATGAAAGAGAAGCAAAGGTAAAAAGGAAAAAACTTTCACTTCACTTTTTTTATGAATTTTGGTTTCATCGGGATTGAAGTTGTAAAATGCGTTAGCTTCCAATATCAACTACATGGTTATATAATAGTTTTTGAAGAACTGGTCATTATCGTGATATATGGACTGCCCACAGGACAGTGGTATTGACTAAGACAGCGATAATGACTGAGCCGTAGGCGAGGTCATTATCGTTGTCGCAGTCAATACCACTGTCCTACGGGCATTTCATGTATTACAATAATGACCAGTTATTCAACAACTATTATGTTTATTTCATTGAGGAACCATGTTTTTAAAATTCTCATAAATTCAAATTGTTCAAAGCAAACTCAAGTTATTGTACGATTTCTATAGGAAAGAGTGAAGACCAGTCTTAGTGATAACTATAAGTCACTGCCACTCATTTAAGTGCAATTTTTCAGTATATGAATACAAAATAAAGTTTTCTATAATTTTATATTCCTTGTTGCTGAGTAGTTTGTCTTTATCAGCATCAGAAAGTACGACCCAACGATCATTTGAGTTGTCTGTAGCAGACGTTCCTTCCAGTTCAGCCATGTTTCAAACGTCTGAATCTCGATCGCGTTTTATTAAAAGGACATCACTCTAAACAGAGAAACCACGCCCCACTAGTCATTAACATGTAAAAGTCCGTTAACGACCGGTTTTTGGTCCGTTTTTTTCTGTTAAAGACCGATGATTTTTTTTACTTAAGTATAAAGAATGTCATGTGGCCTCTTGTTATCTAATAAGAGGTAATTCTTAACCGATATGAAATAACATAATTTATACATGACATGTAATGATAACCAAAGGTGGAAGTTTAACACATCGTGTCGAAATTGATCGTCAGTAAATCACACAAATACCGACAATCAAGTAAGGAATTTAAAAACGAAAACTTGCAATCACTTGAAATGAATATCATGCTTGTTTACGTCATTGTTAAATTTACTATCAAATATAACTTTTTGTTGGCGTCTTTGTTAGCTTTATGTGTATGTTTGTTTGAATTTTTTAGTCAGTTGTGTTGTATGTCTGTGAAATATGTACACACACAGTTTGGCTGCTTGATCCCAATTATTGTCACATTAACCTATTATATCTGTTTGGGTTGCTTACACAATTGTGTCAATATAACGGAACTATAAAAAACTGTCATACAAGTGGGAGGTTTAGCTAGCTATACAACCAGGATTAATCCATTATTTTCTTCGAAAATGACTGTACCAAGTCCGGAATATTACATGTGTTTTCTAGTTGTTCCGTTTGTTGTTAACCATGTTAACGTTTGATTTTTGTAAGCCCATTTTGAATTTAACTTGGAAGTAAGAATCTTTGTTATACTTTTAATCATATCATGAGTTTGTCTGTGTGAATTCTTAAAATGACAATTCGACATAGTCCAGATATATTTTTCGAAAGTAACAAGAGTATATCAAAATATATTTTGTATTGCTACTTTGAAACACAAATTACTTATACAATATTATGGTTTAGTCACATGTTCAATGGAATCAGAAGAAGTTTAGAGTTTGAATTGATCATAGATGTGCTAGCACTCTATGCTCTGTATGTGATGTACTTTAAGATATGATTAAAGGTGAAAGCATGATAGAACTCCTTGAATTTCAAAATCAAAATGTACCATAGATTTATTTAATAATAGTCAAACGTCATACTATAAGTTCTAATAGATATTTGTTTATTTTTTAAACTGTGTCGTACTTATTTCTTGTAGGCTTTCAAACTATATGTATCTTATATAACAAGATGAACTGCACACATAGTTTCATTTTGAGCCCTTGCCATTGATTTTTTTTAAACACGAGGTCTTACCCAATAGCCATTTTGCTTTGATATGCTTTAACAACCAACAAGACATTTTGAAATTTATGATTTATACAGGATATAGATGTGTATAAGATATCGTTTTGAATTAAGGCTTCAGTTGAAATCATATTTTGCCACAAAATTTATATAAAGCCACCATGTTAGATTAAATATGTCAATTTCAATAGGTGGATGCCGTTATACTGCCATTTCAAGTTTGTTTCACAATTTACTGATTATACCATTGTATACATATAGATTCTACCTCTGCATCGAGTGTGATACGATATTTATCCACTCGAGACAGTTAAATTTTCAAATTTAACTGTCGAGAGTGGATAAATATCGTATTACAAGAGATTTGGTGGTGGAATCTGTTTCTCTAATGATTTTCAAACAATACGCAGGCAAATTTATTCCTTCTTTTTCGAATGATCTGCAAAAAGATGTGTTCTTTCTATGTGACATGTTGGTATATATTGCCTTTCCTCTGCAACTGCAACGTACTCAAAAGAAACGTGTTGCTTCAACCGGATTTACAGCCTTACAAACTTCTTATTATAGACCATATTACACTTTGTACAACATGTTGTGTTAACTTGCATACCTGTTTCAATGTCTCCAACTGTGACAATAAATCTTTAAAGGACGGACGTTCAACTGGATCTGTTTTCCAGCATGAACACATAACATCGTAGCTGGAAAAGAGAGTATAACATAAATCCAAATAGCCTGGAATATAGCTTTGCATATATCTTGTTTTCCATTTCTGTTTATGGCAGTTCGTTTTCTTTTTCGTTCTAATCTGATAAGTCGAGTCATTTTCAACAGATTTTTACAGTTTATACTTATGTTCTGTTACACTACTGGGAAAGGTAAGTGGAGTGTTGAGCGCATGTAAATGTTTAACTCATAGACATTCGTTATAGACCTGTATAAAGCCAGGAGCCTGTAATTCAGTGGTTGTTGATGATTCATGTCGGTCACATTAGTGTTTTGTAAATAGTTTTGCTATAATTTGGGCCGTTGATTTTTTTATTTAAACTGTTTCCAATTTTGATCATATCGGGGCCTTTTATACAGTATGGGTTTTGCCCAATGCTGAAAATCATACGGTAACAAAAATACTGCTAACATTATCGTCCTTTTGACTATGGTTTATGGTTGTGTCATAGGCAACCATACTGCATCCTTTTTTTTATCAAAACTCTTTGTGTATATTTTGATGAAAAATGTCAGCAGATGATTATGTGCAGTCATTTCTACAAATAATCAGTGCTTTTATAAATCGTTAACTTCATGTAGATAATTAAAATGCGTATAAACCCTCTTTGCGTTTAACTGTCAATATAAAGTCGAAACATAAAAAGGGAATCTACATTTGTAATGAATATCAAAATACTGCGAATATTGTTTTAAATCTTTCAAACAAGACAATGAAATAAAATAGTGTGTGTATTTGATCTTACTTAGTAGCATATTTTCATAATACATCATTGTGGTCTTTGGTGTTTGAGATCAGTTAGAAAAAGTCTTTTCTGAATTGATTCACACCTGGTAACAATTTTCCTGACGAAGTTATATCCTAACAAGTGTCTTAACTGATTCCTGTTTAGATTAGACATATGTCAAAAAGGGATGTGTTGTTCAAACGTCTCTTTATACATGTACCAATCAATATATTTTAAACCTTAACTAAACAAATTCCAAAGTCATAAGGGGCTCGATGAAGACATGTTTCTTTTAATATTACAAAACTAAATTCTTTACACATAGCAAACTGTTTCGAAAAAAAAAAACAGAACTTATATTTCTTACCTGAAGTTAGCCCTTATTTCATTGACATCAGATACGATCGTCTACGAAATCTTAGAATCATACTTAAAAATAGACAAAAACGTGCATAATGTAAAAAAAACAAACAGAATTAGACGTCAGAGAACACATGCAATAATTTCAAAACGAGATCGAATAAACAAAAATATCGACAGAAGCTATAAACAAAACTATTCAAATTCGAAATTGATCAATCCGCCTAGAAAAAAAAAGATTGATACCACGTATTCCGAGTGGGTTAGCGGTTTATGGTCCACTTGTGTACTCGAAGATTATTAAAAAGCACATAGTAAAACTTGTTATCATATTTGCGGGATGTCCGTATCAAACAACTCACATTATTGCTTGTGCATTCTAGCACAATGTGGTTTTTTTTATTAAAAATTCTCTATTTGAAAAAAAATACTGAAAGCTTGACTATCTATGCATTGCTTTCAAATTAGAAACGTCATAGGGATATTGTATACGTACATGGCTAGCTTACAGACGGACGGTTTTTGTAATCGCTGACCTCTTAATATCAGTGTGACAACAGTTGTGTTGGTATCTGTTCCATACGGTGTTTGTGCATACGAAAATATTTCCCACATCAACACACCAAAAGACCTGCAATATATTTTAATTTGTTTAAATTATTACATTAATAATAAGAACCAACTACATGTGTTTTTATATATTATAAAATGCGTAAAGTATATATGCCATACAACAAGTAAATGTATGTGGAAAGTGATATCCATTTGAATTTTCATTCTTGATTCCAATGATGGAGATTATTAACAACATTAACGGTTTCAATTTTACTGCACCAAATGAGCTTTTTGACAATGTCTCAACAGTAATGCTCAAGGCCAAAATATTTAAAATCCAAATCCTGATAAAAACGTTAGAGAACTGTCAAATAAACAAAGGCCCGAATTATAGCCATCTTTTAAAAAAGAATCAGAGCTTTCCAAGAGTGAGATATATTCCTTAATTTTCAATGATTTCTAAAATTTTATGACAGCAAATTTCAATTTCTTATTGATTAGATCCATATGTTCGCTGGTGAAACAAATATTTGCCACTGGACTTTAAGCGTCCAACAATCAAGCAGTCTGCATTTACAAAGCGCCCTTTGTTACAGCTTTTCTTTCTCTCAGCAGGAATATTAGCAAACTATTTCTGTTTTTGAAAAGATTATATATGATTCATATTTTCTTACCAAACATCAGATTTACTTGAAAACATTCCTTCAGAAAAAGATTCGGGCGACATCCATCTAACTGGCAGCATTGCAGAACCAGTCTTTCTGTAGTAGTTGGATCTAAAGAAAATATTATTGAAATATATTCATATACAAATTTCTATTTTTTTTCGGTTTTTCTCGTCCTGAATATCAACGAAATATTGTCCACCTTTAAGCAATAACAATCAGTCGTTTTATTGTACTAGTTTCCTCTCATTTCATCTAGTTATTTGCAAGAGAAACATCGTAACGTTTATTTTTTTTTTCTAGGGATTTCCCGGTGGTTCTAGTTTAATTTGTTTTTGATGGATTATATCTTTCTCCTTTTGCGACTTTTGTCTTTTCCTTTCGGCAATGAGGTTTTGGTATCTGTCAAAAGAGATCAGTATCATTTGTACATGGTTCATACATGTTGAAGAAATGGAAAATGGCGGTTGACGCACTCATACCATCCCGTTTCATTGGTGACTTGTCTTGGTCTCAATCTCTGTATACAACCTAGTACTTTTTAAGCGATTCCTGATATGATGTTATTTGGATTTCTATGATGTGTTTTGTAAATTGTTTGTCTATTCGTCTTTTTTTTTCGTTTTTTTGCTAGTCATTGTTTTCGACTTTGGTATCTTTCGCCTCTATTTCACACTAATGTCCTAGGTCAGTGGGAGGGTCGGGCGCCTGCAAACATGTTTAACCCCGCTACAATCTGGATGTGTCTGTCCCAAGTCAGTAACGTGTTATTCGGTGGTTGCGTTTGTTGCTGTATATAATATATGTCTTTCGTTTTTTGTTTTGTTTATAAATCGGGCAGTTAGTTTTCTCGTTTGAATTGTTTGTAAATTCGGAGCCTTTTATAGCTTGATATACAGAATGGGGTTTTGTCATTGTTGAAGGCCGTACTGTGATCTACAGATGCTTAATTCTACGTCATTTAGGCTGTGGTGGAGAGTTGTCTGATTTGCAAGTTAATCACATCTTCTTATTTTTATTTTAACGTGTATCTGTTCTTTAAACATCTTCACTTTTCAAAGCCGATTTAATTCCAGTTTAATGTACTTTTAATCTTGTCTAGTTTTTTTTATTTCTTTTCATCACCAGAACATATATTTGCATTTACGAAAACCTTAGTCTATGCAAAAAAGAGCATGATAGTTATTGAAGACCTAGCCGACGAATTTCAAAATATTAATTTGCTTGCATTAAACGGCAAAACTATGGTCGTTTGTCATTTTACTTAAACATGTTAATATGTCTATTTGTTATTGTAAATCACTTATAAGCTATATTTATTGTATAGGAAGTAAAACATGCTTTATATATCAATACAAAATACTATACCCGATAATATCTCTTGCTAATCCAAAATCTGCTATTTTAACAAGCCTGTCTGTCTGTTTGGACGTTAATAAACAGTTACGTGCTGCTATATCTCTGAAAAAAGATTAAGTGCCCCTGTCTACGGTGGTATATTCCGATTTTATTATTAGATTCTTAGTTGTTCTCAAATCAGTATATATAAATCATCGCGTAGAACTGGTGTTGAGCAATAATTACACATTAACAAATTAGTGGTTCGTATTGATTAAAGCAACGATTGAGAAAAAAACTTTTTGAAAATAGAACACTATTGTAAATTATTCAAAAGGTGTCTCAACAATCTATTCTGGAAAGAGTTAATAAAAAGTTACAGGATTTACTTGTTTAAGTTTCAATAAATTGTATGTGATTAAATCATAACAAACTCTTGGAATCATAAACAAGTACACAAAATCCTACCTGTGTACAAACTTTATTTGTTCTAGATATGTACAGGCTTTTGCGACATCAATACACATATTCAACATATCAACTGCTTTAAGGTCTGACTCGTCATTCTGTAACTATTGTAAAAGAGACATGTGTCATAAAAGAAAAATAAAGCTCATTAATGATACCTGGCTTATAATTTTGTACGCCAGACGCAAGTATCGTCTATAAAACACTCATCAGTGACGCTCGAATAAAAAAAGTTAAAAGGCCAAATAAAGTACGAAGTTGAAAGGCATTCAGGACCTAACATTCCGAAAGGTTACACATATTTGAAATATTAGATACATTTTATTCCTCATAAAATCAACACAATCCTATACCTCGTTACGTATGTCACTCATGTTGATGATTTTTATTACAAAGGAAGCAAGTAAGTGCTGAATATTTTTTTTAGTTTTGAAATTAGTTTGTAAATATCGTTTTATTAAAAAACCAAAAATTCCATAATTTGTGCCATCTCTGGAAAAAACAAATCATTGCCTAGTAATAGAAAATCTTTGAATTTCGAACGATTTTAAAGTTTGATGATAAGTTAATTTACATTTCCATGTCCGCACTAATCAATGACTACTAGGAATGTGTTACCCTCGAAGACAGAGTAGAAAAACCTTAACAAATATGATGACATGCGTACGAATGAACTATGTTTCTCGATATAATCTTAAGTAATGCCTCGAGGGACAAACCGTTCAAAAGTCAAAAATTAAAAACAAATCATCAAATGTTATTATACTAAACGGACGAGAAACAAAAGAAATTCTGTCAATTTTGCCTTAATATTTAGTTGCAACCAAAGTTTGAGTACAGTTGCATAATTCATGAACCAAAACTTACACACAAAATGTATAACTTAACTAATGCTGTGTTTGAAGCATCAGCTATTTGTTGTACGATATACTATTGTAGTAGGTCGGTACAAAGAGCCGAAGTGAGAACATTGTACATTTTTTATGAAATAGCATATAATGTCATAGTGTCCAATACTACAATAAGTGATTGAAAACAAAGGAATGCTCACCAAATCTAATCTTAAGCGTTTCAAGTATGTCTTCAAATCTCCTCCTGACATATATTCTAAAATTAACAAAATGGAATTTTTCTCTATTGAAACTCCTAAAAACTCTACTATATTTTGGTGAGAAAATTTGCTGAAAGAAAACAAATAAATAATCAATAATTATGACAATGGTCAGACAAAAGAATACAATGTTTCAGTGCTTAATGCTACAACAGTATGTTATCAACCTGTATATTTGTTAAGGTATGCACTGTATGAATTGAACAAATGCAGCTACATATTGTTTACATGTCTTAAAATATTGTCTGTCAAAGTTAAATAATAATTTGCTGGTTTACTTTCAATTTCACTTTTACTTGTTTTGATCGATTAATACTTTATCACTTTTTTTGAGTATTTTTAAATAATCGTCTACTTTAAACATGTTATAGATCGTTAATTTCAGATATACAAATATTTTTCCTACGATTCTTCTGTAACATTAGTATAAATGTCAAAATTAAAAAGAGGCAAACTGTACCTTAAAGTTAAAGCTTCAAGGAAAAAGTCGGCTCTATTTTTCTCAGAAGACCCTTGTAATACTGACTGAAATATAAAAAAACACAAATTAGTTTATTCAATGACAACAGTCTATGCAAGCCATACATTCAATATCATCTTCACTAAGTTTGAGTTATTAAGGAATAACTATCATAGTATGTTATATTATGTTTAATTCTGAATAATCGGAGACTAAAACGAATGTCATTTATTTAAAAGCTCAAATCAAGTAAAATGTTCGTTCACATATTCGAGCGATTTTGAGTAAAGGTTAGAGAACTTGCGTTGGGAGATGCTAATTCTTCAGGTGACATTACGTTTTATTGTTTAGCTGTTTGTTGCCATCTTATCGATATCTATAACTAAACTCTCACGTTTCAGAACGCAAAAAAAATTACATATTAATGAAATCGTATATGTATGTATTAACACTGGACACTTTTAATTTGCAAAACACTCATTTGCAAATCCGCCGCCGCCTTTCCTTAAAGCTACAGTGTCATGTTTATAACCAAAATGTACAGAATTACATGGGATTCAATAAATTCATTGCTTTTTTGCTAGTATTATTTAATATATTTTGCAATTTGATTCAGAAAAAAAAAATCCCATGGGACTACATTTATCCCATGGGATTTTTAAAATCCCATGGGATGATTGATTTCCTATCAACATTTATATAATTAAGTACAGTTTTTTTTTTTTTTTTAGTTATTAATCTCCTAGTATTGTTATTATGGTTGATGATTCTTTTTAGTTAAATATCTTTTTTTCCCTTGGATATGTTAATGCAATATATTGTTCTATAACTGTTCAAGACTAAACATTAAACAAAGAAGATAATGTAAGTATCAATATATGTTTCCCTATTTCCATTCTCAATTTTATTATTTATGAATTCTAGAATGCTTTTTTGAAACACAATTATTTACAACATTTGAAATCAATAAAAAAAACATCTATAAATATGATCAACGGTCTTAAACTGTATAATTAGGCTTAACAAAGCTATTTACATATTTTTTTTTTTTTTCAGGATATCCCTGCCCCAAAAAAATAATATTATCTTGTAGACCCATATACTTTAGATTTCTAAAGGACTTATATTAACAATAAATAATCAATATGTACAAACATAACAACTTTTAATAATGCAATTGTGAATACTTTTTCAAAGGAAGCAAAGTCCTTATTGTTGTCTACGTCAAAGTTCACATATCAATATATGTTTATTCATCATAGTTATTAGTACATTTTTTTTTATCAAAAATACTATGAATACATATTTTGCTACTTCGTATTGATTTTAAAAATTTATTCAATGTACCAATAAAAAAAGAAGGAATTGCAAAGCTTAAAATATACTCATTTTGTGTATTCTGTAAATTCAAATACCTTTGAAGCCAGTCAGTTGCAATTTGCATCAAACTACATGTATTACCTATTGCTAAAAATATTAAACTTTTAACCTAAAATAACTACTTTGAATAAACTGTTACAAATATTTTATATCTATCTATAAAGATAATAAATACCCATTAATACACATAACGTTGGTTGTAATAGAAACACAAGTAAATTACACAATCACAACCATTAAATTTTATCACGACCATTACACTTTTAATTTAGGTTCATAATTAAAAAAAATATACAAATAGCTTGCATCTTATCATTTATTATTGTTCTTCACACGTTTTTTTCTTTTACTGATAGTATTAACATAGGACTAATGATATATGAATTTGATAAAACAAACTATATAGATAAAAAATACATATGATAATGAAAAGGTAAGTATATGAATAATAAAATATAACAAGGGATATCCTCAAAGTTTAATCAAACAACTGGAATAGTATGAGTATGAATATATACTGTAACCTTTATCCATATATTATATCTAATTCTTTACATTATTTTAAAGAAAATGAATTTAAGGATGTACTTAGGTCAGGTTTAGAAATTTGTGTCAGATGTTCAGACTCCTTGGTTTTTTTCCTACGATACAGGATAAAATATTTTGCCCAATAACACCCACTTTTTTCTTTACATATAAGACTTTAATAGCTTATAAAATGCGATTTACCATAATTCAAGCAGATTCTAGATTTCTTTTCTGTTAATTTGAGACCCAAATAATACCTATCCAAATATAAGGTAATGTGAATGCTAAAATGAATTCTATTTGGTTGTAAACTGTTATTAATTTATAAAATATTTGAAGTAGTATCACTAAACTACAGTACTAAAGGGTTAAGGAATTCTATTTGAAGTCAATTTACAAAATGTTTGACAGATGCAATTTTATTTCAAGTTAGAAGTGATATGTCAATAGATTTGTGAAAAGTCCGGTAAAAAACATGTTAAAATTAAAAAGAGCTTCTTAAATTTGGATGTTAAAGTCTTTCAATATGCCCAAGAGAGTTTCATCCTTAATTAGGTGACATATCTGGCACCTTATACTACTTATGATTTTATTAAAGACTTCATGCTTGCACTTTTGTGTTTGTATAATACCAAACTGTCTTAAGTCTTGATTTTATTTATTAGAAATTGTATGAAAATATGTAAAGATTATTTTTCATTAGTTAATAATTGCTACTGTTTATTTCATCAATGTCTGTTGTCTTTCCTGTTATTCAACATTTGTTGATCGTAATGTATAGTCCATTTGTTGGCCATTCAGCACAGAACAATATCATTATTATGGTTTCAATATCTATTGGTATTTAATAGAACTTCAGTTCATTGACTGATGAAAAAAATAACTGATCTGACTTTATTCTGGTCTTGTCTCTGTGTTTTCTCCCTTTATTCTAAGTGATGCATTTCAATCCTTCTTCTGAAAAAGAACCAATAAAATTCTAAGTTATGGATAATAAAACAAAATTGCATACATGTAGCAAGAAAATATCATTTTCAATAAAAATAGCTATGTGGTATGGATTTTGCTGATTGTTGAAGGTCGTCCAGTGTCAACAGTTGCTAACCTCCTACATCTTTGGACTCTGTTGGAGATTTGTCAAATTAGCAATTATACCACATCTTCTTATTTTAATATTATTTAACAATCAATTTATGTATTCTTATCTATAACATTTGGGTATTTTTCCCGGTTATATATATAGATCAATGTTCAAACTTTAAGCAATTACAATAACATCCCATTTTCACAAGAGTTTGCAATATATACAAAACGCCAACAACAGAAATAGCAATACTTTAAGCTTCTGTAAGAGTTCAACTTCTGTTTTTGTTCAATGAGAAAATATCTTGAACTCTTTGGACATTATAACATTGATACAAAAAATGATATTGTTCTTTTTTTCTTATTTTTGTGTTGTTCGGTTGCTGTCTCATGTTTATATATGTTTATACATATATACTAAATCTTCTTTTTTTTAATATTAATTGTTAATAGTAAAAATGGGATATTTTTGATTTTGATAATCTCAAAACATTATTATTCTATCAAATAACTTACTTCCGAGTTCACAAAACACCAATGTGTCAGATATTAATTTTTAAATACATGTATTAACATGATTATCAAGCAGTTGTCAGGATGTCATGCAAAAATCCCACTATTATTAAACATTGACAAAAACTCCAATGTTTTTCAAATTCCTAGTACAGGACACCATGCCCGGCGAACACTATCATGTGTCAATGTTTAGTCAATCATGTAATCAGGCTCAAAATCTTAGTTTGGCATATAAAAAATACATCATATTTATATACATTTAAAACCACAAGTTAATAACTGAAGTTCATGGTGAACTGTAACCAACAACTTTAAACGGATACAATTCCGAGAAAGGACTGGGCAGATGGATGCACAAAAACTATCAAAACAGGGCATAAAAACTTACCGAACAAAATGAGTTTCACTTATCCTTCAGAAGCAAGAAAATTGAAGTGTGTCTTTTCTTTCTCTGCCCTCCATGATATAAACTTCAAATGCATTTATGCAATATATGAAATTCTGCACAAGTAGAACCTTGTACCTCAGCGTATCCACATTTTGACTTTTGAACTGCATTGTTCTTTTCATCTTGCTGGCAACCTTTACATAAAAAAATTATAAACACATAATTCTAGGTTAACTTTAGTTATTAAGGCATGGATCCTTCGTCTTTTGTAGGGGCAAGTTTTTTTTGTTGTTGGTACAAACACTTTTTTCCAACTTTAATCAAAGTAATGATGTACTGTTAACTCAGAGGAACTCAAGATATGATGGCTGGCGAAAACATGGCAAAAAATGGACATCATACTAATCTCCGAAATATTTAAACAAACCAAAATTAATACTTGATTAAGATCTTGTCAAATTTATATCATGGATACCTCATATTTTTGAAGACCATATGTCTATTGTCTGAGTGTATGCGTTTGTACATGAAAATTATTATTAAAGATTGATTCCGACGACTTTAAAATCAAAGAGGTAGTGCCATTATCCCCTGAATTCATTACACTATACAATGCCATAGGGCTACTCCAAATTGTTTGTCAATCTTTAACATGTTTTTTAGCAAGATTAATGTCACAGTTTCACAGCTCCATGTGTACACTTTGAGAATCTTACGATACTGTATATTCAGAAATTATTGTGGGGTCTTTATTAATGCAAATAATGCAACTGAGAGCTGTATTGCATTTTTATATCTGATACATATATTATATATATGCAGATTTTCCTGAAATCACAATAATCAATCTCGCATTTTTGTCCGTTATTCAAAATTAGCAATAATAAATGCACACAAAAACTTACAGTATTAAGGCTTTTTTAAATTCTAAACAGTTGCCCTAATTATAAACGTCAGACCTTTAAATTTCTTGTTTGATTTATTTAACATTTATCATTTCAAGGCTTGCTAGATGGTATGGCTTTAGCTCATTGTTGACAGTCAAACCGTTACATATACCTAACTTGTGCATCATTTGGTCTCTGGTGGGGATAGGTCTACTGACGATGGTCAAACTGGAAATTTGCCGAATTATGGGTATTTATCCAAAAAAGAAGAAGAAAGATATTC